GACGGGTTTGCCAACCGCCCTTTGCTCTTCTGGCCGCTCTGGCGATGTGAGCAGAGGGGAGTGTCCTCATAGCCCTGGATGTGCAGCTGACTGCGGGCGGTCGCGATGTATCCGGTTGGCCGGGGCCAGGCATTGCCCAGACTAGATGTGCGAAGGGTCTCATGGATCCAACCAGCCAAGGCCCTGTCTCTCAGCAAGCCTTGGATGTCGACATCCCTCACACTTGCCAAGTAGTCCCAAGCTGCTTCAAAGCGCTCCCGGAGCAAAATGGCTCGAATCATACACGCGGTACCCGCCGCGCGATGCCGGCCACTAATGCAGTGGAGGAGCACATCCTCACCTCCCCACAACGTATTGCACAGGAGCGGCAACAGGTCGCGCCATTGCTCGTCTCGCCTATCAGGGTGGGCGATAGCGAACTTGCGCAGGGTCGCTCCCTGCAAGCAAATGCCACCCCGCTGCGAAGGCTCCTCAAGCATGCATGCCACTTGAAGAGTGACGGATGGAAAGGCTGATGCTGACCTGTTCGTAGGCAATCCACCCAACCACAACGTGCCGCCACTTTGGACGGACAGCACTTTGGTCGGCGCCTGCGCGCTCTTCCCCCGCACGGTGGCCAAGCGGTCCCACCGCTGGTCGTGCACGTTGGGTGTGAACGCGGCCGGGGGCTCGGGCATCTCGAAGACGTCACTGGGAGCCTCCGTTGCTTCGGCTGCTGCTGCTCGCCATGGTGGAATGACCTCCGAGGCTTTGGGCGCCGCAGCTGTCGCTGCCACCGAGGGCGGCATCGCCTTGGGCGCCACGGGCTGCGCTGGAGAGGGTACTGCCTCAGTGTCCGGGGGTGGTACGGTGCGCAGCTTCTTGGTCTTGGGAGCCGGGACTGGACTCGGGGACGCGCTCGGGGAGCGAGGGCCTGCTGAGGACTCATCTTCACTGGAGGTGCTCTCTGGCGATGATGATCGATGTGGTTCCTCAGGGGCGTCGGCCACGGGGAGAGCGACTGGCTCTGCGGTGCTGGGCACTGCGACGTTCGCCAGAGGGGTGTGCTCAACATCCTCGGCCACCACATAGCGCTTTGCCGAGCAAGCCTGAGCTGGATGCTTCCCTCCGCAGGCACGGCCAGTCTTCAGCACGATGGCACAAAGGTGGGCTTCACCACAGGTCCCCTCGCCCACGTGGCATGCGTCCAACTGAAAGTTGGGGCATAGCGCCTTGCCGTTCCTCAGGAAACGGGTGACCACCTTGCCGTTGATGGAAGGGGGCATCACAGCTTCGGATCGCTTGGAACTGGCCTGCGCCGCTCTTGTGAGCGCTGCACGCTCTCGCGAGAAAGCGAACGCGCGCTGCGCTGCTGCCACCGACATCGGCTTGTCCCACAAGCTGTGCTTGTCGAGGCTCACCGCCCGCTGCACCTCGGGCTTGGCCGCGTCCACTGCGGCAGTGATGGCGGCTGGAGTTGCCAGTTCCCAGGCGTCAAATTCGCCCAACCTGGCGACAAGCCCCAGCGACAGATGTTTGAGCCTCATGCTAACGAGATCACGGCTGCCTGCGTAGTGGGTCGGCATGGCGGCCTCCTGAGGTAGCTCACTCTTGGACTGCCAATCCCCCAAGGCCACCATCTCAACCGGGGTGTACTTGGCCAGCAACGCCACCGTGGGCATGAGCCGGCGCCACGAGTAGGTGGAGAGGTCAGCCACGTCGGTCACAAGGTCCTGGAACAGCTCACGACCTGCGGCTTGCACCTCAGAGATGTCCCACGCGCGGCCTTCCCGATTGAAGCATAGGCCGCCTTCATCTCGTTGGGCCTCGGGCAACTGGTTCCGAAGGGCCACCACATGCTCTGCCCAGGGCCAGCCATCTGTGAACTGCGAAGGGATGGAGAAGTCGAAGCCATCACGTTTGCTCGCCTGCTTCTCTTTGGGGCAATGGCAGTACATCGTTGAGCGGGACAATCGCACCATCTGAGCGCGTTGGACATGCCGGTAGCGTAGTACCCCTACGCCAACGATCCAACTTCCCAGCATCGCAGTCCAGCGAGGGTCCTGTCGGGTGAAGGCTTCCTTGATGCCACGCTCCAAGTGGGTGAGCATGGGCGGCTCGACAACGAGAGCCTGGGATCGCGCAGCTGCCCGCCGTGAGGCAGGTGGATCCAGCACGATCGCATCCAACTGCCACCCCAAATGCCCCAGTTTATTCAACCAGCGAAGCGAATTCAATGCCCGCTTGGGTCCTTTGGAGCCGGAAGCCAGGAATGACGCCAAATCCAAATGCTCTATCGTAGTCCTATCTCGAGAACGCATAAAGCTGACCAATTCCGACCACGTGCGCACAGCGTTCACCACTGTCTGAGGTTCCGATTTGGTCACTTTGACCTGCGCCAATCGAGTGAGTTGCAGTTTCCACTCAGCTAGGATCGCATCTGAGAGGTTCCCCACGGAAGGGCGATGAATCCCGGCGTCCTCAAACACCTTGGCCAGCGCTTCCACTCGCCTGTTCACACTGTCAGCACTGAAGGCTTGTTGCGAAAGGGTCACTCCCTTCCGAACAGGCACTGGAGGAGCGGGTAGTAGGTGAAGAGCATGTGCCGGCCTGTCACGACTCGAGCCAGCTTCCACTGTAGAGGCCGCCAACGGCATCAGCTCCTCAGTCTGCTCGGAGCGGGCCTTGGTCCAAGCATCGGCCAATCCCCGGCCCCCGGCCAACAAGGCCTCTTCCGCTGACCGAAAGGCAAAGGCGAAGTCGGCATCGTCCAAGAGGTGGTATTGCTCCCTGAACTCGCGAACACGGGCGGCTTGGGCCACTTCAGACGAGGTCTCCGGGTCCCACCTGGAGCTCCCCGCTGACTCGACCGCGTAGCGCCCCCTGTCAGCCATGAGCCCTGCAAGGACTATCGCACTAGTCTGAGCCAGAACTGTCGATGCACAACGGGCACTGCCGTGACCAGAAGTTGCAGCTCTCACAAACGATCGATCGACAGACTCGACAGGACTCGAACGTGGGCAGGCGACAAAGGAGGCAGAGGGGGGGGATGTACTCAACGTCATAGGCCACGGCCCCCAGGATCGCACGGATGGATCGGCCTGCATTCGCGACTTCACGGGGAATACCTGGGGTCCCAACCAGGGACGACCATGGTTCCCGCCATGGCCGCCTCCCCTGCTGCCAAAGCCGAACCAGCTCGAAGAACTCCTCGGTGTCGATGCCATCGTCCCCGTCGTCCAGCCGCTCCACGGCCAAACCAACGTGGACCGGCAAGATGTCCAACGGGCCCAGGTCAAAGGCAATCCACTGCAGCGCCAGGCGGTCCAAGCGCGCCGCAGAGGCATGGTAACGCTGCCACGCGACCGCTGGCCCAAGTCCCTCTTGAACCAGCAAGCAGCGGCGGTTCCATACGCCCACCCATGGGAACTGGAAGCCGCCCCGACGGTCGGTGCACCTTGCACACGGAATGGTGGTACATACGAACCGACGAACCGGGGGGAACCCAGCGATGGAGAGGGGTTGCCCTGGAGACCCCAGATGCACCAACTCCACCACGGAGGCCCAGAGGCGCAAAGCTTCCCGCTCGCGCCCCTCAGCAACCAGCTCCTGAAGGTGAGCGCTGAACTCCATCCACGCGGCGGCATGGATCACCTGGTACCTGGTGTAGGCAGCAAGGCTGGTTCCCAACTCGCTCATGGGAAAACAGGGTCCCTCCCTGCACAAAAAAAAGAACTGTCTCTCCAAGGGTTCCGCCCTCAAAAAGAGAGAACAAACGCTATTTTGGCCAAGTCACTTGAGCCAAAACATTCGTTGGTTCAAACCTATGGCAGTAATGAATACATGTTCACCCAAGCCTGCCAGACCTGAAACATGTTTAGATAGGTATAGACAGATAGATGGATAGGCCAAAAAACCAAAAGCCACAAAAGCCAAAAGCCACAGAAGCCACAAAAGCCACGAAAGCCAAAAGCCACAAAAGCCAGAAGCCACAGAAGCCAAAAGCCACAAAAGCCAGAAGCCACAGAAGCCAGAAGCCACGAAAAACAAAAAAAATCCAAAAAAGAAACAAAAAAATCCAAAAATAAATACCCCTCCATAAACTTGTAACTCTGCATCATGCTGAAATATAGGATACATATGAAACGTGCAAACCGTGGTAGGGCAAAACGCCCGAGGAGCCAATATATATATATATACAATGAATAAATATATGGGAGTTGATCTAAATTCCTTTATCCAGGATCCGTCATTTTCGCCAAAAAAAATTCCTTTCGCCAAACTTTCGCCTTCCTGCGTTTTATCTTTCGCCGAAGTACGTTGTATTTATGTGTGCCATGTATGTTGTGTTTTGTTCACGTCAATGGCTTCTTCTTTACTGGCAAACACAAAATAGAAACTTCACTGTTTGTCAGCATGTGTCTTCTACTTAACTGTTGACACCCTGTACGTCTCTTTTGTTTCTCCTGGGTGTCAGCAAGAATCAAAATTGCAAGAATCACTGTAGTAGCCGGTCACTCAAACTTACTCATAATGGGCTGGGGGTCAGATGTGGCAGGGTGAACTTTCGCCAATCTTGAGCTGAACTTTCGCCAAACTTTCGCCTTTTGCGGGGTAGAGTTTTGTGGCAAAGCCACCCCCCAAAGCAGGAGCAGGAATAGTAGTAGTAGTAGTAGCAGTAGTAGCAGCCGCAGCAGCAGCAGGTTATCTAACTTCCACAGCTCATCTAGCTTCTGAGTCACTGCCACCAGCTGTTCAGAAAGCAAATGAACATTCATACAAAAGTACATATTTAATCGTTCGCCAGATCTTTCGCCAAAAAATAATTACTTTCGCCAACTCGAGAAAAAACTTTCGCCAAATGAGATGTTGATATGTTCCGGGTCATCGTCATACACACTGCTGACTAGGACCTTTAGATCGACAACCATATGTATATAACTATATATCCCCACCACGGCCCGCCTGTTTCCAGGCATTGAGTCCCAGCAGATAGATAACACATGTCAACACCAAGGAGCTGCGTTTGATCCTCGCTTCCAAGTCCGCTTCCAGCTTGGCGTCTCCATTGATCCTCACGGCAAAAGGGAATGTTATGGGCCTAGATATACAAGTGAAGGCAACTCAAATGGATGTGATGAGATCCGTCGTTTTGATTTACAAATAAGGCGTTGGTATCTGGCTTAAAGTATTTATCAGTAAGACTCATAAGTATGATTCTCCCAAGTAGGTACCTGGAACTCTTGGGGCAGCCCTTGCAGCATCCGTGAATTGGTTGACCCTGGAGTGGCCCCTCAAGCCGAGTGTCGGGACGTCAAGGCACAAGACGCCCTGGGTGTGTCTTGAAAGCAAGGAAGAGCAAGGAAGGGGGATCCCCCAAGAAACGTAGAGAAGTGCTGATGATGATGACGATGATGATGATGATGACGATGATGATGATGATGACGATGACGATGACGATGACGATGACGATGATGATGATGATGATGATGATGATGTCTGATCATGGTGATGAGTGATGTCCGTTCATGGTCTACCCATGAGAACTTGGGCCGGTCCCCCCCTGATGGTCAATTCACTGCTTTCAACTCCCTTCAGCTCGGCTGCAATGAACATCCGAGTCATTGGCCTCACTGGAGGTTCAATCCATTGAACCCCCCTGGTTTGATTTGGATCAATCTAGATACCTTCTCAGAAGGTATGGGGAACGAAAGAGCACGGCCTTTATAGATAAATCTACTATATAGTTTTGGATGTATCACATTCCCTGTAACAGGGGATGATGATGGTTTGGTGGCAGGCCTTCCTCCAAAATAGTGATAATTGTTTGCCCACTGTTACAGGTAACAGGACAAACCCAAGGCATATCGCCTTGCGATGTACAACTGGGATCAAGCTTTCTCGAAGTCCAGTAAACCCTGCCCCTTTTCCCCCCTCAAACCCGCAGCAGACGTGGTGCCGCCTTCGTTCTTCTTCGGCTTTCTGCTTGGCAGAGTGTTCAGAAAGCTCCCCCTGGGATTCCTGTTTTACCTCAGCTTTTCCCTCTTCATCTTCTCTCACGGAAACCTCGCAGGCCTCTTCTTGCAGGTCACAAGCGACTTCCTCGCAAGGTGGAGGCTGTGCTGGTCTCATCTCGGGGGTGGCACGCGGCTCAGCCGGTTCTTCTCTTCTCTCACTGGAGTCTTCTGGTCTCATTGTATCTGCTTCCTCTCTGCTGGCCTCCTCTTCTTCCTTTCTTCTGCTAGCCTCTTCTTCTTTTCGCCGGTTGGCCTCTTGTTCCTCCTTCCTCTTGGCCTCTTCCTCTTCCTTCTTCCTTCTGACTTCTTCTTCCTCCCTTCTCCTCTTGGCTACTTCTTCCTCCTCCCTTTTTCTTTTGACCTCTTCTTCTTCCTTCCTTCTAGCCTCTTCCTCGTCCCTTTTTCTTTTGGCCTCTTCTTCATCTCTTCTTCTGGCCTTCTCTTCACGCTTCTTTCGCTCCTCTTCTGCAGCCTTCCGCCGTTCTTCGGCTTTACGAGCTTCCTCCGCCTGAGGAAGCTCGAGTGAGCGCTCGTTTGGGTGCACCCTCACCCCACTACAAATGAATTACACCGGCATAGACCAAAACGGAATCCAGGCACCCAGTCATTGGGAAGTAAGAACCCCTATAGCTACAGGGAAAAATAGATGACAACTTAGTTGACTGGAGGGGCGACCTCTGCAGCTTCAACAACCAAAGAGCCCCGCGCTGGTGGCTGAAATGGCCAGGTTCTCGGCCAGTAGCCAGGGTTTGCCACCCACCAAGTTGCACTGCACCAGCAACGTCACACTGACCAAAGAGTCAAACAAATGTCATACATGATCATTCATTCCGGTGAAATGCGTGTCACACCGCATGCATCATAATGATACATGCGAAGTCCGTGTTCATTCCAGAAGAAAAGGTCGGGTTCGCCTTCCTCTTTTCTTCAAGTGCTCGACCAGCGGCCATCTCCTCACGAGACGGTCACACAGGTCACCCAGACTCAGACTCTCAAAAGAAGGGTTCCGTTTCTGAGTGGTGTGTATTTCGGTGGATGAAATAAGGAAGTCCGTGATGTGACCCTCTCTCAGTTTCTACATCCTTTTCGATGACTTCTGCACCGAAAAAAAGGTGTGGTCTTCCGAAACACCTGGAGAATGACTCGACTTTGTCAACCGCATCGATCACAGCGCTGCCAGAATCCCCCCGATCTCACCGTCATCCCCATGTCTGTCACCTCGTAACAGCATTGTAAATGAGTGAATCAACATACCGGTTCACGGACTAACATGGACAAACTCAGACCTGTCACCATGGGCATCTTCGCAAGTCCCCTTCCGCAAGCAGTCAGATTGGATCTCTGGCAGGCATAAGGGAGCCTATGAGGTGCCAGGCTACCCCTGAAGACTCACCTGTCGCGCGCGACCGCGATCAGAGGCGAGGCACTGCCGAACAGTTCTTCACGTGTCGGGGGCGATCCCATGGGGTGGTCCCACCACGCCTCCTCTGTGGGGATCCCGAAGTAGCTCCCAGCCGGTGCGCCACAGAGGCGCTCCACCTGCCCGAAAACCGTCGCGGACCCGCGACGCGGTCGCGGGCAAAGGCTTTGGGGCAAAGGGTTTAGTTGACTGATTCGATTGAAAAGATGCTTCACTATCGCAGAACATGCCTCAAACTGACTCAAGTCTCATTAATCAGATCCCAGAAGCGTTGGACCTTCCCACCCATTCCATCTTCACCGGTGCACCCCACCTCGTGGCTAGAGGAACGGACGTAGTCGTTCTCAGCGAACTGCCTCGCTTTCGTGCGCTCTGGTCCCCAAGTGAACACCACCACAACTGTTTGAAAACATGTTCCCAGTGGACCGACTTTGACAAGCTAGCAACCCCAGCAAAGAAACAGTTCAGAGATTCTGGTTCCAGACCTGCCACGCTGACATCTCATGAGTGCGCTCAGAGAACCGTGGAGCACGCTCTTTCTCTCACCTCCACCATAAATCAACCAACCACTGCCACCAGGGCCGCCCCAGAACCACCCACGCGCCGGTTCCGGCGCCAGAACGCGCATTCCTCCCCACCTAATGCCAACCTTCATGGCTTCGTAGCCGGCCTGGTGCGTGGACGGCATGGACGTCCGCTTTCGCCCACTGCCGGACCACCGAAAGCCAAAAAGACGGTGAACACGCGGGACCCGGCCGCGAACTCCTGCTGAGCCGGAAAAAAACTCAAATGACCATGGAAAGTGGATGGCACCACCTGTTCGTAAAAGGAAAAATGGACATGAAAACGGGGCGTTCTTTGGCCAGAGAGTGCATATCCGTTCCAGAGAGTCTCAGAGGAACGTGCATATCTTCTTGGAATGGCCAGGCCCCCGGAGCGGTCCATGGCCTCCGTCGTCGGGAAGTCGAAGCGCTTCATGATGGGATTCCACTCCTGCCGTGGAGTTTCAGGTTTCACCAGGACGAAAAACGCCTGGAGTAAGTGGCGTGGGACCGTTTTGTGGAGCCCAACTGTCTGTCAACAAGGCTTTCAGAGGTCAAAACGCCGGTACATTTGATTGAGTGGATGAAACCTTCTGTGAAAAGAACGCCTTGCTTCAAGAATCTCGTTGATTTGCCTCCGGCGCACCGGAGGAACGCCGGATGAGGGAACGCCGTGCCTGCGTGATCAGCACGCGGCGATGCTGCTCCATGCGAACGCCGCCTCGCTGCTCGATGTTTTGCATGCTCCTGGGCAGGAAGACCAGCAATAAAGATCTGTTCTTTTTTAATTTTGGAACCCGAAGACTACGGTGCACACAAAGACTGGAGTGAAGCTCAACAGCCTGCGTCCGTAGTCCTTAGAGGTCTCTCTGTGGAATCCTTGTTCAATTCAAACATGCTCGAAACCTCTGGACAGAAAAGTTCTCACTAGACATGCGTGCGCGCTACGTACATACAAGCGCCTGACCACTGCGGGACACAGGAGGGACTCCTTGAAGGCCTGTCAAACGACAGGCCAGTGAGCTATGAAAGCGGGCTGATGTTCAGATGTCTTCAATTTGGATATTCACCTACATTAAGTATCTAGCAGTGCCATTATGTCCTACTACAATTGGGACCAACCTAGCATTGGAAACACCCAGCGAATGAAAGTCACGTTCCCAATTCCTATGTGTGTTCTTCGTCCACCAGTATGGTGCCTCTCTGTCCCTTCAGGGCCTTGAAACACCATGGTGGGAAGTATTGGTCAACGGCCACCCTCTAACACCAATGGATGCGTTGGTGATCTTTGATTGGGTGTGCAGTCTGCGTTGAAGCGCCATGAGGATGGGGAGGCAAACAAAAACCATTTCCGTGAAAGCATTCAGAATCGAGGAGTCTGCAAGGTCATTATAAGACTTGGATGCGACCAGGTATATAACAACATGAATATCACCGCGGATCAATATCAACAACTTAACCATGTTGCTACCAAACACGGGCTAAAAGAAAACGTCGATTATGCAAGCAGGCATTCAGCCCAAACAGTTTCAGCATTATGTCTTTGCTGTCAACTCCTTGAATTCCAACTGTTGGTGGTAGCACCTTAAACTTAATTATACTCCCTTTGCTTCCAGCTGTTTGGCAATGGCATCGCTTGAAAACGATAAGTTCCTGATTGTCGGGTCACATGTGCAAAAACCAAGAGATATATAAATATAAGTGGCAGAGCTTTGCACAAAAACAGGACGAACCTGTCAATACCTCTTATGTGTGTGTGTGTGTGTGTCATGAGAAAGTCCCAAAATATGATATCAAACATGAAACGCTGCACCCAAAACGTTGCACCAACCTCTTTCACACCGAAAACATGCCCGGACCATCCCGGACAAGGTGGTGGAGCACTGGACCGCGGCGTGGCCAGGCCGCTTGGACGACATGCCGGAAAAGAGGATGGCTGTGTATGGCAGCCACCAGTTATGGCCGGCCGTGTCTTTCTTAAACTGATTGATGAACAAGAGGATGACACAGGGTTCGCCAGCAGGACACCAAGAGGACACAGCTTTTGCAAGCGTGGCCAGAGGACAGAAGGAAGACACAAGCGTGGCTGCGGCTAGAGGACAGCAGGAGGACAAGAGGACAAGAAAAGGACCCAGCGTTCGCCAGCGCGCCCAGAGGACAGCAGGAGAACACCAGCAAGACATCTAGAGGACCAGAAAAGGACAACAGGAGGACAACACCCAGACACAGGGTTTGTCTGCGGCCAAAGACTCAGCCTGTGGCCAGTGTCTTTCTACCGAACCTCCAACCCCAACTGTGGGGGGAAAGGCTGCCAAGGGAGCGGAAGAATCAATCCCATCCATCCTTCTCCAACCAAAACCCTCAACCTCGCCGCACCCGGATCCACCATGTCCACCATGTCCCGGTCCAGTCCCCTCCGCAGAATTGATCGTTCCCCACTCCGGATCCGCTCGGTGCCTTCAGGATCTCCTTGGCTTCACCCAGGAACATCGGTCGCCCCCGAAGATCCTTGGCCACCGTCGCGGCCTGTGCGGGTCCCGCGACTGCGGTGGGGGGGGCCCGGAGGGAGGGCTCGCCGAAACGTGAGTGCTTGGGTTTCAAGCCCGAATGGGCAAGGTCTTGCAGAGGGAGTCAACCAAACAGTTCGGAAGTTCCCCCCATTAGGAAAAAATAACCACTATGTGGCTATGTCACACTATGTTTGCGAGCAAGGTCCCTTGGTGAACCAAAACGGCTCTCCTTCTCCGAAGACAACCTCGCTGCCATGCAGGTTGTCCAAGTAGAATCAGTGGCTTTCACGACGTTTCATGAGTGAAACTGACCTTGGACCTTGGGTGAGGATTCCTTGCATGGCAATCTACTGATCCTGAAGCTAGTATGTTTATTCTGCATTTGGCTGAAGGAACATCGAGACCAGCATGAGAATTGAAACATCGCCTTAACATGACGGCCCCAACGTGCTCCTGACATCGCCTTAACCCGCGCTGTTCTCAAAAAGAATGGGTAGAATAAAACCAAGAAGGAAGATCTCAGACCACACCGAAAGTCGAAAGTCAAACAGTTCGCCCCAGCACCCAATATTTAGATGGGCGTGAGACAGCAGCCGGCAGAAGCAACTTTGTGCAAGACTTGGACGACTGTCCCTGCACAACATCCCTCAAGCCATCTCTGCTAGCAACCAAATGCTGAGGGTGAACTGGCAACGAGCGGACCAGTATTGTAACATGGTGCACAAACCCATGTGTAAACGCTCAGCTCAGGGAGACTACGCACTACAGTACCAACCACTGGATGGAAGGCCCTTCATATGCATGCTTGGCTTAGAGACATGAAAAACAGGGAATGGCTGGGATCCGGACATACCAACGACCAACAGAATGGCGCCCACCGACCAACGAAAGTCGACAGCACGTTCGTTTGAAAGACATGTCGAGTGCTGCCCCCATTCCCCGGTTTTCCCACGCCACTCCACGCAGCCCACGCCACCTTTCCGTTCACGTTCCCGTTGACGCGCTCGGCTTGCTGACTGTCGGCCTGTAAGACGGGAACTGGAGCTGGAGACGTGTTCAGCTACGAACGTAGCTCCTGGCAGTACTACTAGGAACAAAAAGCTACTAGTAGCAAGGGCATTACTACTAGTAGCAAGAAGCTACTGGCAGCTATTTGCTGCCAGTAATAAATTGTTTTAATGTTCCACCTTTCCATCTAAAGCAAACTGAGGAGAGTCATGTCATAAGTAGGCAGATCATGGGGTTGTCTCAGTCAAGCAAAGGGAATGGGGATGTCCAAAAACACACGGACGGAGAAAAGGTAAAACATAGTGGTTGTGATGGGAAGGGGGGGGTAACCCAAACATCAAAGGGGACATTAGCATATTATGCGGAGGCCCCATACTGTAGATGTCAGGATGACAGGGATGACATCTATCTATGCATCTTCCATTGCACAGGAATGGGGGACAGGTAGCACGAAAAATCAATATACAAGTGCCAAGTTGATGATGCTGCATTTCTTGTCAAACGCCGCTGCCACAACTTAGATTCTATGGGTGGAAGAAATCTGCAAACAAAACACAATGGAATCCTTCAGAAGCCGGCTGGTGTTTTAAGCATGCATCTCAGGTGTGCCAACTCACAAAACTAACCTGGGGAGTCTAACGCTCAGAGCTGCAGTCGCAGAGTTGGTTGCGATTTCTTTTCAGGCATGCCCATCGAGTTGTGGGCATGACATGATGAGGTCTTGCACTACAACCATGAACCCTCTCTGTCATGGGCTTGCTTGGCTGAAGCGGTGCCATCGGCCCTCCCAAATCCCTTTCAACCCAGCATCAACAGTCATCGGCCCGTCGCGCCGACGGCTGAACCCCGTCCGACCTCCTTCCAGCTTTTGGCATCAGCCTGAAACCGTCGCGTGCGACGTGCATCGTTGACTCTGCAGCCGGGGGGGTCTGGCAGGGTCTGGCACTTGGCCTGGTTGTTTGACCCTGGTAGTTTGACCTCCCTAATCGTCGATTGTGTTGCATGAATCGTCGATGCCCTCGGTTTTAACCCACGCCCACCGCCCTTGTGGATTCCGGGTCAGAAAGTTGACAGCTCTCAATGCACCAACATCTGGAGATACATCGCGAGCCAAAGTTTTAAACAAACGTTGTTTCAACCCAAACAAACACCGTGCAAAGAAGATTGTTTGTTTTGCGAACAAAAACGAGGGTTTCAAACCTCGCCTCCCCGGCCCCCGGGGGGGCGGGGGGGGGGGAAACAAACTAACTCTGGAACGGAAACTTCGTTAGTTTCGGGGGCAAAAAACAAAGGTTTAAAACTTTAGTTTTATGGGCAGAAACTAAGGTAATGTCTGCGACAGACTTTCGACTGCGTAAAATCTGTGTTTCGAAACCCCGAAACTATAGATACAGGAGTTTGTTTCGCGGCAGTGAAACTAAAGTTTTTTGGAGAGACTGTTTCTTAATCGTGTGTGCAAGGAAGCACGCCAGCCTCCTTTCTACTCGGCCAGCCTCACAGAAAGCGCAGTCGTATTGGAAAGCTCCATGGGCACATTTTTGAAGGATTTCCTTGTAAGTTGCTGTGGGGGGGGGCCGCCCCCCCCCCCCAACCCCCCCCGCCACGAAATCTGTACTTTCTCCCCTTAACCCGCACCGGCCACGAAATCAGATTTTAAGGCCCCACCTCCGTCAATGTCTGCAGCGCGCACCTGGACAGAAGGATTTCCGGAACATTTTCGGTGGGACGCACTCTGCACTTTGGACGCACTCTGCATGCCACGAATGCGGCTGTACGGGTGCCACCTCCCGCAAGTTGTAGAGCGCGCAAGGTATGGGAAAGCTCCACGGCCTCATTTTGGGACCTTGCTGGAAAGATTCCTTCTAAGTTGCTGTGGGGGGGGGCTGCGCACTTTCTACCCTGAATCCGCACCTCGGGCGATACAGAGTCTGCAAGCATGCGCACTCGAAATGCACTCATGTGTGCCTTTCGAGGGACTGGCAATGGCTCGGATAAAGGCACATTGAAGATCTCGAGGGTCTGAAAAGCATCGTCTTGGGAACAACAGATTCTGCAAGCATGCGCACTCGAAATGCACTCATGTGCATCTTTCGAGGGACTGGCAATGGCTCGGATAGAGGCACATTGAAGATCTCGAGGGTCTGAAAAGCATGGTCTGGGGAACCTTGCGCACTCGAAATGCAATCATGTCCATCTGGTCTGTTTCTCTTGTGTCCAACTCGAGCCCTCCCCCGCCCCCCCCCCCAGAAACAAACTAACTCTGCAACGAAACGTTTGTTTTGGGAGTGAAAAACAAAAGTTTCATGAGCCTCCGTAATAGAAATAGTAATAGGAGGTGAAGGGAAATGTTTGTTTCGGGAGTAAAAAACAAAGGTTTTCAGAACAAAAAGTTTGTTTCGGTAGTCCAAAAACAAAGGTTTCGGGAGCGTTTGTTTCGAGATCCAAAAACTCTAGTTTCGAATGTTTGTTTTTCAGGAAGAAAACTAAAGTTTCACCTGGCAAGCAGAAAACAATGGTTTTCGTGCGTAGAAACTTTAGTTTCCACTAGTTTGAAAAACTCAAGTTTTCTCACCTGGAAACAAACTTTAGTTTCCACTGTTTTCAGAAACTTTTGTTTCTAACTCGGAAACAAACTTACTTTTCATGAGTTTGTCCACTGACGGTTTATTCGAAAAAAACAAAGGTTCTCCGAAGCTCGGGGTTTGTTTTTTTCGAGTTTAGAACCATGCTGGCAAAGTTTAGTTCAGAGTTTGAGGGTTGAAACAAAGGTTTCGTCCAATCCTTCGTTTCAAGAGAAACTCTAGATAATAACATTTGTTTGTCGCCATAAAAACTTTAGTTTTCTGTCTGCTGTCTGTCTTTTGAATTATTCGGCTTTACCTTGGCTTCGAAAATGATTGTTTTTGCAGCTGGAAACTAACTTTTTACTCCTGCGGAAAAAGTTTGTTTCTCGGCTTGAAACAAACCTGTGGAAGGAGAAACTTGAGTTTCTTCCCTATAAACTAACTAGTGCTTCAGTCCCTTCTGAACATCTGGGTGTCACTTCATTCGGCCTAGGAATGAAAACCGTGGACTGCCAGCAAACCAAAAGAAATACATCGTCCATTCTTCGTGTAGACCACTGCGTGTTTAGGAAAGATGAGGCGAGGAATCCCTTCCGGCCCAAAGGCAGAAACAGACTCTGCCTTTCTGTGGTGGCGGGGACGTGTGCAGGTGGACAAAATTTCTTTGTTTCATGATCTGTTCTAACCTACGAGTAGTGTAATCACGTCAAGAACAGGTGGCCTGATTTAATGCAAGACGTGTGCACGCCAAAGTCAGGCGCAAAGCATCCAGAGAAGAGAAAGGATCTCAAAGGAATCTCAAACGGGATGAAATATCAGGGGTGGATGATGTCTCGCAGACCATCGGAATGGGACACAATCTAAGCTTTTAAGACCATGCGACAAACCTTCAGATACAGAGAACTGCCATGCCGTGGGTGGCTGGGGCCAGCAACTCCGGCATAGTACTAGATGGTTGAACGGTTGAACCATGTATGCTGGAGTTGTACACACAAATATATAATATATAATATATATATATATATCATTATATATCTTGGCAAGGTTCCCGACCTCACCCCCATAACCTCAAAGCGTATTTAACCACGAAAACACCGATTTCGTGGAGTAAAAAGCGACGAAAACCTCATGTCGCGCAGGCGCAAAGGCGGCGTGAAATGAAGGTGGTGGCCAGAAACACCATCTCCAAGGCCCGCGGATTCGAGGCCATCGTTCTGAGTGCCCCGAACGGTGAGACCAAAGAGGCTCCCGGGGACCATGCGCAGCTGCTTTTCCACCTCCGGCTGGAAGTCTTGGGGAAACTCTCCAGTGGCCAAACCCAGCAAAGCCTACCGACCCAGCTGCCAGAGTTAAGGACTAGTCCATTCCCAACACAGCGTTGCTGAGCAGTCCACTGATCACAAGGACTCGACTCTGAAGCCAATCTAACCTTGTTGTCTTCTGATTTGCCCAAAAGGGGCAGTCGAATGGGTCCCCAATTCCTGCATTCTGACTGCCCCCCAAAAAGTAGAAAGTCCCCGCCCGAAGTCTTTCGGAATTCCGTTTGCATCCTTTCGACCCATCTCCTGGAAAAAGGCAAGCGGCCTGCCTCATGGCTCATCAAGCGGATGCCCGGCTGATGAGCATTGGCCTCCCAGACTGCAGTTGCAGAGTGGCCCACAATAGCTCGGGCTCCCCTTCCGACCACATGCGACCCAGCACCATCGGAGGTTGAGGCTTTGCTGGGAGAAGCATATCTTTGGAGGGCATAGCCTCTTTGATTGGGAGCCTGCTGGGCGAGCCGAAGCACACTCCAACACGCCCATCGCAGATCATCACCGTTGTTCTGCTGCGAACCAACGCCACCTGTGAGATGTCTTGGGAAAGACTATTTGATCGAACATCCATGTGGACTCCCCTTCCCGCTGACTCCAAATCCATGAAATGACTCCCCAAAACCCCCAAAGGCCAAACTGGTGGTCTTTGCAGGCTCTTTGAACAAACCCCGCCCACCCAGGTGGAACTCGATCCTTCTCCTTTTCCGCCCGCTGACCGCGCGCGCGGGAGCAGCCCACTGGACCGTGCTCCGGGATGACCACGCCGGCGCTCGAGCAAGGGGCCAAAGCCAGAAAGGAGTTCTGCAAAGCGAGAACACCGTCCCACAAACGGTTTGTTTTGAAAAAATATCCAAAGGTTCCTGGTCCAGTGGCAAACTCCTTTTTGTGTTCTTTCTGCATCCTTGTCACTGAAACAAGAAACTGCCATTGTAACTAGTGTTTGGCATTTTGAATGGCAATCAAGATTTGGTGGGCAGAAGGCCAAACAAAAGTGGTGCACGATCCGTGTCCTTCATACATCCACGTCTGCCCAGAAGATCCGTTGAATGCCCAAAACTTCTTTGAAGTCCCCCTCAACAACCCACAACACTCTGCTTTGAAAGTGGCTAACTTTCCTCGGAAAGACTCTGCTGGCTCAGGTGCTGGCTGGCTCTTCCCACCAAACCAGCAGACCTCACGGCCTGTCGTTCCATGTGCTTTTCACGGCCCGTAGCTTCTTCAGCACCGGCGGCCAGAGGGTCGCCAAGGGGGATTTCTTCCCGCGCTCTTCGGCCCGTGGACGGCTAAGCGTGCGGTCCAAGCGCGTTCCAGGACCAAGGCGGCGGCGTTTTCGGCGAAAAGAGAGAAGAGAGTAGAAGAGTAGAGTAGAGTAGAGTAGAAGATAGATGAAGCTAGGGAATGTCAAGAAGATGACTGATCTTCATACTGGAACTTGGGTTCTGACAAAAGCAGATCAATTGTGATCAGATTACACAAACACCCTGGTCTTTTTTCAGCATAGTAATTGCTTCAGGAAGACTTCTTTTTTGCCGTCACTTACCAGCACAGTGGACACAAAAAAAAGACAGCGGTGTCCAAAAGCGAAGCAAGGCCCGTACTGCCAAGATCTGCCAAGCATGCATATGCCTTGGAAGGTTGAAGCTTCAAAGAAGTTGTCACAAAACATAACCCGTAGCTGAGCAGCAAAAAGCTGCGGCTCAGCTGGCCAAGCTGCAGTGGTGTGTTGTAACAGCTCAGCTTCGAGTCATGAATAATATACCTCCTAATGCCAAAAAGAACGTGTTGAGTAACACTGACTGAAGTCTGTAGTGTAACATATTAATTCTCAATTATTGCATCCTATGACCGGGTGATAGGAACATGTGTTTGTGCTTCATAGATCCAAAATTGACCGGGATCTCAATATTCCGAAAAAAAAAATCGCGGCCAGGAATTTGTGTGCCTATCGCTCTTGGTCTTCTTGTTTTATATAGTTACCTTGTGTATCTGCTCAAAACATCATCGCGTTCACTCTCTGTTGGGACCACAGAGGCGTGAATTCCTCTGATTGTCCTCGAAATAAACAAAAAAAAGAAGCGGACATGATTGGGATGACCCACTCCGAAACCTCCCAAGCAGTACAGATCATAGGTTCCTTGATAAGAACTGAGCCCAACAGTATGTGAAGGACATACCTCGAAGTATATGTAAGAATCGCTTGGTTTCTTCCACGCCGATCACGCCTCGCCCGATGACCCTGAAAGGCAACCGGATTCAGGTATTCGAATTGCGGCGTTGCTCTCATAGGCAAGCCGTTCGCCAAGGTGCTTTCACCAGTCTCTGTGCAATGTTCAAACAGGGAAAAGAACACCAACATGGAGAAGAAATGGGGTAATGATGTGTTGTCTGCTTGGGCATGATCTGTTGTATGCTTGGCCCTGGTGCATATGGTATTGAAAAAACCACTTTGGATTTGGATGTGGTTCCGGTTGTTGGACAGTTGGCATCGACCCGTCGACACGTCGACCCTTTTCCCTAGCAAACCTTAGTTTTGAATGGATGGTCTAGATCATCACACAAAAGGTATTTACATATGTGTTTTTTCTGGGACATCATCGGAAGAATACAGTATAATAAAGCCCAGGTCGGAAGGAGCTCTGACAGGGCATGTCGTGGCAGCTTGTCTGACAGGGATCGAAAGGTCGGTCCGCGAAGGAAACAGGGCGAAGCGGTGCGAAGCTGCGACCCTCGAAGTCTTTTCTCCCCGGTCTTTGCATCGAGATAGCTCTTTTCGATGCACAGAGTCCGTTGCACGGAATCACTCAGCAGGCGGCCTTGCGGGTGATGAACCACGGCATCAAGTCGGGACGGAGACATCGGTGCGTTCGTTTTGCGGCCCGGACAGCCGCACATCGATTTAGGGGCCGAAAGCACCTGAGGTACGGTGAAAATGAGGAACAAGAAGCTACTAGGAGCAACTAGGGGCTCCTGGTCTTACTACTAGGAACAAGAAGATGTGCGGCTGTTGCATCCTGAGATTTGTGACTTCCCTATCGTTTTCGCATATCTTGGAACCGTGTCAAAGGGTGTCGTTTTTTATGTGAGTCCCCTATCATTCGCGAGGGTTTGGAGCATGACGGCATGAATGCAACGCTCCTATGCAATCATAGTCGTCACAATTGTTGAAGATTTGAAGGCACTTCACGTGAAAGATTCATGGAGTACCTTAAGTCTCTAGAGCAAGCTATCATTCAGTCCACTCAATCTAGGGAATCATCACGTCAGGTCCCAAACACACCTGCACACCCCGACAAAAAGGAAATTCATCAATGCCCATCCGTAGGTTGCCATCCAAATACCATCCGGTTGACCGTCGAGTTGAACCACCTCGGCCATCGCTCCCGGGCCACCTCCGGCCCCTCAGAGCAGCACCGTCCTCCGGTCGCCTGGCGGCCGTTCGCTCACGGCCGGTTGCGAGTTCGGACTGGCATCCGGACCAGCTCGGGAAGAAGAGGTAGTTCACCTGTCGGTGGGACCATCTCTCCTCACATCCTTCAGCATATTACATGTTTTATCATGTCATATCATAAATTATATTGCATGGTAGTATAGTGTTTTGTACTATACTATACTATACTATACTATACTACATTATATATGTTATATTATATTATTACTCCCATGAGCGGTGCTGAAAAATACACATTGGAAATGAACACCTCATCGTTGCCCAGTTGTTTCCAAGAATCTTGACTGAAAAGAAGTGCTCCATTTTTTCCCAACCACAAAGACTTCACGCTCTTCCCACTGCCTGGCAGGTGTTCTGCTCGGAATTCTGCCACGGCCACGTGGGTCGGGAGCGAGCGGGGCGCAACAACATGGGCGCAACAGCATGGTGGACCATGACATGCTTCAACAGTCCGAAAAAGAGTCACTCTAATGGTGTATGTTTAAGTTGGGAGTTGTACATGGTGTTGCCACATCCAATGAACCAATGAACGATTTGAAGTCTTGTGCAGAATGAAAGGCCGCCATGTAACAATGTATTTTCCACTTTGTGTTCTGAAAAATCCGGACATCTTAGGAAAGCTCTCAACACCTCTACGACGTGGAGTGGTGTCCACTCTCCACAACGCCTCTTGAATCCTCACAAGTCAGGGGAAACCAAAACCACCAAGCCTTCTCCTCCTGCGGTTCAGCTGCAGGTTGACTTAAAAAAGAAAAAGAAAACTGCACCTGCCAACACCCCGAAGACCCTCGGCCAAATCACAGCCCGTCAGCCTTCCAACATGATCTCAGCCTGGAGCACGGTTCAAGATCAGTTTCATCGGTTCAGATGTGTTTCCCGATCAAAGCGGTTCGGGGCAAGTAGCTACTAGGAACTATGTTTGCTACTAGGGGCTCCTGGCCGTACTACTAGGAGCAAGGACTCTACCGTACTAGGAACAAGAAGCTACTGTTTCATCCCCCTTCCCACACAAGTGGGACCTCCTTTTGTGCTCTGCTCTGCGGCTATGCTGGAGGTCTGCCCACACGGGTGGGACCTCCTCACCATCTGTTGATCCAAAGGCACTTCCCTACCTTAGCCTTGCATCCAAATGTTCCGTCATATGCACCTATTCGTCCATATTCCATGACCCATGCACATGCGCTCCCCCACTCTCCAAGGCCAAGCCCTTCGGGTTGTTCAAGCCGACATTGGCAGCTCTCGTCGGCCTCCGCCTCAGGAGGTCTCACCACCTGCACTGGCTCACCTCAAATGTCAACATGACTGTCGACGACATGACCTGAACACAGTTCCGCTTTCCAGTGAACTCATCAAATCCTCGCACGGACTGAGTGACATCCTCGAACACCATCAGACATCCTACGTCCGTGCTGTCGGTGCCAATTTGGAGCCTCCTAGCCAAGCAAAGGGGGAGGTCAACAGGGGCAAGGGGATGGCACATGGTTTTGCAATACGCTTGTCATCTTTCAAGTTTCAAGTCAACGGTACCAACACTCAAGAAGATTGAAGAACAAAAAAAACATCTCCCTGAGAGATCCTTCAGCGTCCGAACTCTAGAAATCAGCCAAACTACCAGCTTGCAGGTGTCGAAGCAAAAACTACCAGTATATAGGAACACGTTCCGCGATTCATTCTCTAAACGCTTCGCAGCACTCCTCGGCTACGCTTCGCTAAGCTTACACCTCTGACGCCGACCTCCACACGCCATCGACTCGACCCAGCAGACTCCCTATCTCGGACGTGGCACGGTTCGCCCAGCAGGTGAGCAGGAAGGGCAAAGCCACGAGGAAGCACAGGCCAAGCCTCAGAATGGAATAGAATGGCTTC